CTCCAGTCTGCAGCCAAGGATCTGTTTTTGGGTCATTTCAGCTTCAGTGTTTCAGTGTTTTGATGGTTTGAGATGAAAAAAGTCAAATGAAATCAAAGTAAAGATGAAAAGTTTAAATATTCAGACGCAGTACAGACTTTGGACCAACAGTTAAAGCCGTAGTTCTAATGAACTGTGTCTCGTTTGGTAAAAAGGGCATCATTTGCTCACAGGAAGTGCTTTTGTCTCTCTCTTCCAGTGTTTCAAAGCTGTCCGGTTCAGAACTTGAGGTGTCCTCGTGGTCTACAAGAGGCGGACTTCCTGGACCTTCTGAGGTCCACCTTCCCTCAGCTGGCTAATGAGCCTTTTGACATTTTCATGTCAGGTTTGAGAAGACAGTTGATGCCTGTGAGAGTAAAAGCTCTGACTCCAGAGGAGATCCACACGACCATGAAATCCACAGGAAACTCATCCCTCTCCATCCAACTGAAGGTTGTTGGACTAAATCTGACCTCCTGGTTCTCCGTTAGACTCTTTTATGTACAAAACTCGGGACAAGAGATTTGGCATGTCTAACCTTAGTATGTAGCCTTTTAGTTTTCAAGGAAACCATTTGATTGAGAGTCTGACACACCTCCCTGCCTCGGTGTTAAATGACCCAGGAAGCACGGGACGTTCAATCTGATCTGTTGTTGTGCCTCTCAGGCAGTAAGGGAGGTAGTCACAGAGCTGAGTTGGTGAGTAGGTAGTGCTGTTTTTGTATCTTACTGCAAGTATTGTATGAAGCCAGCTGAGTTAATTTACCTGCTGGTGTCAAGGCTTTGTCCAACATGGAGAGGCCCCTGTCCCCAACCCAAGCTCTAAGCCTGTCTCACTGCCGTCTCCAGGTCTGTGAGTCAAGTTTTATTTCAAAGATAAAAACCAAAAACACTTTCAAGTGTCGACTGGCGCCAAATCTGACGTTACAGAAAAGTTTTCCAGGTGGATTTTAATCCTGAGGAAATGGCTTACATTAGTCTTCTTTAAAATATATATATACATATATATATATACATATATGTATATACATATACACTTAGAAATCATGGAGGGTCTGAAATGTTCATCTTAGCTGCATGTCCACTGTGAGAGACATAATCTAAAAATAAAAATCCAGAAATCTCAATGTATGATTTTTTAATAATTGTGTGTTACTGCTGCAAATAAGTATTTGAACACCTGTGAACATCAAAGTTAATATTTGGTACAGTAGTCTTAGTTTGCAGTGACAGAGGTCTGATGTTTCCTGTAGTTCTTCACCAGGTTCACTGCAGCAGGATTCTGGACTGTTCCTCCACAGATCTTCTCTAGATCAGCAGGTTTCTGTGCTGTCGCTGAGAAACAGAGTTTGAGCTCCCTCCAAAGATTTTCTACAGGGTTCAGGTCTGGAGACTGGCTGGACCACTCCAGAACCTTGATCTGCTTCTTACGGAGCCACTCCTTGGTTCTCCTGGCTGTGAGCTTCAGGTCATTGTCATGTTGGAAGACCCAGCCATGACTCATCTTCAATGCTCTAACTGAGGGGAGGAGGTTGTTCCCCAGATCTCTCACTACATGGCCCCGGTCATCCTCTCCTTAATACAGTGCAGTCGTCCTGTCTCTTGTGCAGAAGAACACCCCCAAAGCATGATGCTTCCACCGCCATGCTTCACAGCAGGGATGGTGTTTTTGGGATGGTACTCATCATTCTTCGTCCTCCAAGCACAGCGAGTGGAATTAAGACCAGAAAGTTCTATTCTGGTCTCATGTGACCACAGAACTTTCTCCCATGACTGCTCTGGATCATCCAAATGGTCCTGGTCAAACTTCAGACAGGCCTGGACGTGTGCTGATTTAAGCAGGGGAACCTTCCGTGCCATGCATGATTTAAACTATGACGTCTTAGTGTATTACCCACAGTAACCATGGAAACAGTGGTGCCAGCTCTCTTCAGGTCATGGACCAGCTCCTCCGTGTAGTTCTGGGCTGATTCCTCACCTTTCTTAGGATCATTGATACGCCACCAGGTGAGATCTTGCATGGAGCCCCAGTCCGAGGGAGATTGACAGTCATGTTTAGCTTCTTCCATTTTCTAATAGTTGCTCCAACAGTTGATCTTTTTTCACCAAGCTGCTTGGCAATTGCCCCGTAGATCTTTCCAGCCTTGTGGAGGTCTACAAGTTAGTCTCTGGTGTTCTTTGGACAGCTCTTTGGTCTTAGCCATGTTAGTAGTTGGAGTCTTACTGATTGTGTGGGGTGGACAGGTGTCTTTATGCAGCTAACGACCTCAAACAGGTACTTCTAATTTAGAATAATAAGTGGAGTGGAGGTGGACGTTATAGAGAAGGACTAACAGGTCTTTGAGGACCAGAACAGTTGCTGATTGGCAGGTGTTCAAATACTTATATGCAGCAGTAACTCACAAATAAATTATTTAAAAATCATACATTGAGATTTCTGGATTTTTTTTTTTTTTAGGTTATGTCTCTCACAGTGGACATGCACCTAAGATGAAAATTTCAGACCCCTCCATGATTTATAAGTGGGAGCACTTGCAAAGTCACAGGGTGTTCAAATATTTATTTTCCTCACTGTTGTCTTCGTCTCAGGGTTTAACACCCCTCCAGCCCTAGTCTAACCGGTAATTGGACGCCCCTAGACTTCTGAGTATTACTCAAACGATACTACGGTCAGGCCCTCTTAGGCTGGGCTCGAGAAAGATTCGACCAGGCACTAACAACCTTCATCTGCAGGACACACCCCTACTTACAAGTAAGTAACCGTTAAAAACCTCCCAAGATCTCAGAACCAAGCACGCTTCCTGGGTAAGGTCAACAACGAGCGTGTATCATTCAGATGCCATCAGGAAAATGAGTCCAACGCTCTATGATTTTCATGCTTTGTGTTTTTAATTATAAATTTGCATAAGGTTACAATCGTAGCTTTCAAAAATCCAGCAGCAGTGCAAGCAAATGCATTTCAAAAAATGTAGTATAATAAATGAAATAAAAATTTTTAAATGGGTGAAAATCCAAATTCTTCTAGGTGTGGATGCACCAATCTCGTATAATAATCTCTTGTAAATGGTCTACTCCCTAACTGTTCTGTCCCTAAGAAAAACTACAAAATGCAACCTGTAAGTTTTAAATTGGGTACAATGGTTCAAAAAGGCTGGTTCCTACCACATATCCCATGATTGGATCGGTTTTCCAGGAAAAAGGAGAACAATTCCTACAACCTTTGTTGAAAACGGTCATCAAATGTTATTGATTCCAATCAGAGACTTGTTCAGAGTTATCTGGGGTCAGTCCTCTTGAAGGGTGATCATGTGCTGCTGAGCGGTTCTTCGTTGCTTTAAGTTTCCATCTTTTGTTGTTTTTTCATCTCTGCTGTAGCCAAAATCTTCCCTCTTCAATCTTCAGATCTAATCCAAGTCTTCAGAGCTTGACAACCCTGTTCTACCTGAAATGACTGACCGACCATCGTCTGCTATCTTGTCTTTTTAAACTCATCTCTTGTCTCTGATTGGCTTGTTTCTGATCTAACGTCCATTTTGAAAACTTTTCAACAGTTCAAAAGTTTGTCTCCTTTTTTTCAGCGTGTGGTTTTTATGCAACCGCTCAGCGGTCTAAACAACGTACGTCCACTTCTGTTGTAAGCTCGTGACAGGTGCTTTGCCTAACGTCCTCGTATCCGGCCGCCACCCTTATTATTTATCAACTCTCAACCTTTTATCTTAAACATAAAAAATAAATTTACTAAAGAGAGTTATAAACTCACAGTTTGTGCCTTTGCAGAACAAGACAACCCATCTTGTGTGTGAAGCCTAACCACACTGCTGAGTTTCCTGTCAATTGCTTCAAGTGACTGTTTCTCAACTTTGAACTTTGCTCTTCTAATCCTAAACGAGAAAAAAAACTTACTAATGGAGAGGTATAAAAACCCTTTTTCTAGAATCACTTGACTTAACAATTAAAAGTGAAATCCAGATCTAACTTTTACAATTATTAAATGAATACTTTTTTGACCACAAAATAGATTCTATAGGATCCTTTTGATTACAAAAAAATCATGTGATTGTTTCAGCACCTTGACAGACAGACGTAAAATCTTTATTTTAATCAACACACCCACAAAACTTCTTTTATTGATCATTCATTCATTAAGATTGCTTTATTTCAAATGTCCACCTCCACATATATATATGTATATGTATATGTGTATATATATATATATGTATATGTGTATATATATGTATATGTGTGTATATGTGTATATATATGTATA